TAGCTTAAAGCTAGTGCTCTACCCCTTGAGCCATAACACCACTTCTGGCTTTTTCTGCTTATGTGGTTCTGAGGAATCGAACCAGGGCCTCATGCATGCAAGGCAAGCACTCTACCACTGAGCCACCTTCCCAGCCCCATTTCTGGCTTTTTTTTTTTTTTATGTAGGTAGTTTTGAGGAATTGAACCCAGGGCTTCATGCATGCTAGGCAAGCACTCTATCACTACACCATATACCCAGCCCCAATTACTTTTTATAATCGTAAAGACAAAAATAAATAAGAAGTTTGTGCTGGGTGCAGGTGGCTCATGCCTTTAATTCTAGCTGCTCAGGAGGCCAAGATTTTAACATCACAGCTCAAAGCCAACCTAGGCAAGAAAATCCATGAGAAAAACTTTTTATCTCTGATTAATCACAATAAAACAATGAAACTGAAAGTGGCACTGTAGCTGAAGTGGTAGAGCTGAGGTCCTGCATTCAAGCCCCAGGATGGGGGTGTTTTTTTGGGTGGCGGGGTGGGGGGTGGGGGTGGGGGTTGTTCAGCCTAGAAGCATCCAAGTGCTTGACTCTGGCCTCTAGACACTGCATGTGTCCTAAGTTTTGTTTTCCACAGTTCTATGGTAGAGATTGGTTTTTCTTACAAAATGCAGCTCAGCCGCTCAGCCTGATGGAATGCTCTCTCAGGCAGTAGGTCCTCAGTCATGTCAGGCCTCAGGGCAGTGGGCACACCAGAAATCAACCTACGAAAAACTGTCACACCAAAGTCCCTCATGTCAAACTGCTTTATTACATCTTAAATAACAGTACAGTTTAATATAGTATCTATCTTGCATCCAGCCTCCTTGCAGTACACTGACTTTGAAATTAAATACGAAAGGTGGGAGGGGTGAGGGCGCAGGGCTACAGTGATGGTGGAAGGGAGAGGAGGGCTTCGCTGTATTCTTTGCCAGGTCCAGGCCTACCGCATGGTCACAGCACAGTTTTTACAGATGTCGCAGAAAACAGGATGGTGAAGCCACTACTGCTGCTCTGAGGGGTGCAGGGAGGGGGAGTGGGGAGGGGAGGGTCCACAGAACACTGCTGTGCAACGCTGCTGCGGAACCCTGGCTCCAATGAAGACCAGGAAGATCTGCATGGTGTAAAAATGGTCTGCCTCAGACGCAAAAGGCCCGCAGAGGCAGGGCTTCAAGGAAGCAGCGGTGGGGAAGAGGCTCCCCACCTCCTCTTCTCTCTCAGACTCCAACAGCAATCATTCACAACAGGACTGTCTGTTTTTGTAAAAGTAAAGAAAACAGTGACTTATCCCTCTGGCTAGCGGGTAGCGCTCGCTGCTTTCGGCGTGTGCAGGGCAGCAGCAGCGAGCAAGAGGACAGAGCCACCACGGTTACAACTGGAGAGGTTATTTCTTAAAAGAAAAAGAACATCTAAGGACCGAGTCCTATGTGCACTTTTGAGCATTTCTACAGCATGCGATTCTAAGAGTAAACCCACCCAATATGGCAAACAATCAATTTTTTAAAATTTAACTTAGAAAGTCTGAGATCATTATTTTCAAAACATTGATTTGTACATGGTTTCATACACAAAGAACCGACTGACTATCCAAGAACAGGACAGGCACCTCTCTGCTGGGCTCCTGACAGCAGGGGTGGGGTAGTGTTAGGGGATTGCAAACTTCCCTCCAATTTCATAGGAAACCCAAGGTGAGAGCAGAAGTCGCATTGGACAGTGGGGGAACAGGTCAGCGAAGGGGAAGGACTCTGACCAAGCACCGCTGACCACCACAGCAAGTGCTTGGTTGATCTGCTTCTGAGCTGTCTCTTCCACTACGCTGTGTGTGTGTGCAACCGTCATCTATGATGGGAGACAGAAGGGAGAAGCCCGGGACTACATCACATCATCGACAATGTCAGAGACCCAGCCCAGGCTCTGGTCTGTTTACCCATGAACATAAAGGAAAATAGGTAAAAAGGAAATGTGAATGCTTTCAAAATCCCGCTACAAACACAGCTTGATACTTAAAAACAGTTACAGGATAAACAAAGCCACAAAACAGGATCACTGGTCTAAAGTCCAAATGAACTATTGAAAAGGCGTGTCTGTCTCACAATTACACTCCGGTTTACCTTCTGGTTAACATTTTTATTGTAGTATTTCCTTTTAAAAACTCATCCAAGACAAAAAAGAAAACAAAGACAATGGCCCCGGAAGGAATGCACAATTTGTTTTAGTTGACAGCACGGAGATCCTTCTCTTGGTGGGAGTTGTGCTCTTGGTTTCAGCAGTAAGTGAAGGAGAAGAGATCTTGCCCTTTGAGGTTCTGAGGGGAGGTGTGGGTGCTGCGTTAGGGTGGTCGGATAGGATATGCTATCGCTGTCTCCCTTTGAGGGGGGAACGGTCTTCCAGTCACCGTGGCGTTCACCTGCTGCTGGGAACAGAGTTTGGGAATCTGAGCTCAGAGATACAATCCACCTGCCCGCTCACTTCCACTGCTCCCCCATGATCACAGCTGAGGCTCTGGCTTCGGATCTGCTCCAGTTCCAGACCCATACCACGCCCATGTGGATCCAGAAACCACACACGGGACCCCTGCACTATGACATACAGGAAAAGCTCCACTGAGGCAGGGTCACCAGGGCCGCTCCATTACCTACTAGCATCAGTTCCAGATCTTGAGGAAGCTGTCCCAAGACCCTGTCGCCACAGCCATGCCGTCGTCGGTCACCCCCAGGCAGCTGACACGGTTGTCGTGACCAGCCAAGACCCCTAGGAGCAAACAAGCACAGACACTCAGGCCCAGATGCCCACCGGTCCACGACGCGGCGCCGAGGGCTCCACAGCCTGTTTCGGGGGTTTCTGTGCTCTTCCTGAGCTTTTTTTGCTGAAGGCTAGTGCTCTACCACTTGAGCCACACACAGTTAAAGGACTTCTGGCTTTTCTGGTATGGGGAATTGGAGCTAAGAGCCCCCCAGGCTTTCCTGCCTGGGCTGGTCTCAAATCATCGTCTTCAGCTTTCAGTCTCCCGAGGAGCTAGGATTAAAGGTGTGAGCCACGGGTGCTGGTTAGACAGCCCATCTAGATGGACAAGACTCAGAGCCCATCACAGTCAAGCTGCAGCAAGAAAAAGACAACAGAAAGGGAAAAAGTTCTGTCTAATAGAAATTACACTGCCTCATCGATCTTCTAGGTGTAGGTACACAGAGCAATCAACCAAGAGCCTCTGTACAGACTTGTGCATACCCACTCAAGACGCTCAAATAAAGAGAGTATAAGGTGGTCAAAAAACCCTCAGAGATAGTAGGGAAAGGGATGACACTCCAAAAAGAAATGTACAGCTGGAAGTGGCACTGTAGCTCAAGTGGTAGAGCGTTCGCCTTGAGCTGAAGAGCTGAGGGACAGTGCTCAGGCCCAGAGTTTAAGACTCATGACTGACCAAAAAATAAAAAAAAATAAAAAAATATGGTCTGGGAAGGTGGCTCAGTGGTAGAGCGCTTGCCTTGCATGCATGAGGCCCTGGGTTCCATTCCTCAGCACCACATAAGCAAAAGGGAAAAAAGCCGGAATTGGTGCTGTGGCTCAAGTGGTAGAACGCTAGGCCTTGAGCTGAAGAGCTGAGGAACCGCGCCCAGGCCCAGAGTTCAGGCCCATGACCGGACCCAAAAAAATTAAATAAAATAAAAATAAATAAATTCTAAATTTTGCCAGGCACCAGTGGCTCACGCCTGTCATCCTAGCTACTCAGGAGGCTGAGATCTGAGGGTCGAGGTTCAAAGCCAGCACGGGCAGGAAAGTCCAGGAGACTCTTATCTCCAATAAACACTAGAAAACCGAAAGTGGCACTGTGGCTCAAGCAGTAGAGCACTCACCTTGAGCTGAAGAGCGGAGGGATAGTGCCCAGGCCCAGAGTTCAAGCCCCACGACCAACAACAACAACAACAAAAAGTACTTATCACTTGACTCATGAAATAGTAACCCCTCTCTGTACATTGCCTTTATAATAACAATGAAAAAAAAAAATCTAAACCCCATCTCAATCCCTAGTGCCCAACACAACCCAGCTCCCAGGCTCTGATGGCTAAGACCGCGGAGCCGTCAAAGAGAGAAACTAAGGGCACAAGTGGGGGTCCTGATAACGCCACGGCAGCTGTAGCTCAGAGCAGACAGGACACACCTCCTCCCAGAGGCGGCTGCAGACAGCTCCTCAGTCTCCGTGCTCCAGTGATGCACAGGGACAGCTCTGCTGGGGCCTCGGTTAGCACCCTGGCTCTTTAAAGGCACTGACTTTGGAAGCTATGTGCCTCTGATGGACACTGCTTCACCGGACATCAGAGCTGGAGCGTGAGCAACCCAGGAAGACAGCACAGGAGCCAAGATCGTGTGGGGGCTGGCCTGCCCAATGCACTTTTGGGGTGCCCTTTGGAGTCAGCCTCTGAAGAGTCAGAGCACGGAGCGTGTGGAATGTCACTGTCAACCCCTTTGCTGTTCCGCGTGGCAACCATGCTCACACAAGCATGTATTTTAGCTCTAGTGTGTCCTGCCCTCTGGGTCCGGGCAGAGGGTCCCCAGGGCGGCCTACCTGCCCTGTCGGCTTTGAGGGCGTCCCAGACGTTGCAGTTGAAGTCGTCGTACCCGGCGAGGAGGAGGCGCCCACTCTTGGAGAAGGAGACAGAGGTGATGCCGCAGATGATATTGTCGTGGGAGTAGGTCATGAGCTCCTGGTCTGCGCGGAGGTCAAACAGCCTGCACGTGGCGTCGTCTGAGCCAGTGGCAAACGCATTGCCATTTGGAAAGAACTGTGCAGAGAAGGCAAGTCAGAACACGTACACGGGGGGACTGGCACCCCAGGGAAGCAGAGACAGTGCCTACGAACCCAATCCGCCACCCCAGGGTGGATCCAGTCCAGCAGCATTGTGCAGCCAGTGTTGCACAAGCTCTGCCCGTGCTCCTCTGCAGGTGCCATCTAGAATCCGCCAGACTTCAAGGAAAAAGCAAAGCCACCACACAGCCCTCCAAACCACCCCAGGAGACCAGAAGCGGACACACCGGCTAGCTGATGGGGACGAGGCTCTGGAATCCACGTTCCAGGCCAGCAGAGGCTGTGCTGTGCACTCCAGGATCTAAACTACTGGCTGCTTCAGGCAAGGGGACAGCTCTGCACGCAACAGCCTCACCCACACCTAGCAGGTAAGCACACAGTAGAGGGGCAGGAGCCCACCACAGGTCCAGGAAGTCCTGGTGAACTTGATTACATTTGCAAAGGGAGGGTAAAGGGGCAAGTCTCCTGAGTTCAAGGCCAGTCAGAGCTAAATAATGGGACCCTAAAATACCAAACAAAACATTAAAGTTTTAAAAAGAAAAAAAAAGAGAAGATCTAATCTGGACAAGTTTCAACTCACACAGATGGCATTGATGTCAGACTCGTGGCCTGTGAACGTCTGTCGGCACATTCCTTCTCGGACGTCCCAGAGTTTGGCGGAAGCGTCACAAGCACCAGAGACAAACAGTCTGGTGTCAGGAGCGAGAGACAGGCTCATGACGTCTCCAGTATGTCCAGTAAACGTGGTTGTCTGCTGGCCGGTCTCGATGTCCCACAGGGCGCTAGAGCAGGGCAAACGACAAGCAGACGTTAGCCTCCTCTCCCCAACACAGCCACCGTCAACCCCAGGACCACAGGAGACCTCAGTGTTTTGTGTAAATTCAAATGCTGCTATACGGAATCTCTCCTCTGCTTAGAGGAGAAATAAAGGAAGGAAAACAAACACTACTGTAGAGCAGGAGCTGGGCTTCGGGGCTGCTCTGGGCTCCAGGCTGGCTCACACCAACAAATAGGCCCTCGTCCCTTTTAACTTAGGCATGTTGGATTATGTCACCTGCTCTGGTTTGCAGAAGCAGCGGGGAGACCTGGTGAGGGTCTGGGAGGAGGAGAGGACAAGGTGCTGCTCCCTCTGTGTCTTTGCTCCCTTGCCTTCTTGGGCTTCAGGAGACAATGACAGGTAAAAAGTGGCTTAAAGCAACTCTGAAACCCACTGTCCTCTGGAGTCATAAACAGAGAGCAGAAAGTATGAATGGCTCTGCAGAGTTTTCCACAGGGGCCTGCTGGACAGGTAAGACAGCACCTGTGAAGGAGTGAGCTCCAAAGGTCACAGCTGTGTGTTGCTACTGGATTCAATCCACAGAATGCAGCATCATTAAAAACCACCAGTTTATGCCAGCCAAGAGAGCCTGGCAAGGCAGATCCAACAAGAATTCTCTTTGCTATGGCATGAAACCCACAGAAAGGAAGCAGGGGAACAGACTCCAAGAAAACAATCAGGACACAGGAAAGCGTTGTAAATGCCTAACCGTTTTTCACCACTGATGGTCTGGAGTTTTCTTTTTATAAATCTACAAATCTCACTCAAGGACACTGACGCTGTGAGTCCCTGCTGAGGGGCTGAAGGCCTGTGTCTCAGTTGCCCCCACTCTCCTCACACTCGGGACTTATGTCAGCCATGTGCGGGGTGCCTGTGCCACAGTCTAGTTAGCAGTGGCTGCCCCTGGCCACCAATCATGGCTAAGACCAGAAATTTCCAAGGACTTACTGCCTAGGTGGGGGTACAACCCAAATTGTAGAAAGGATGTCTACCAAGCGGTAAACTCCAACTTCAAACCCCAGTACTGTAAATCACACACATACACATAAGCCAGGCGCCGGTGGCTCATGCCTGTAACCCTAGCTATTCAGAGATTGAGATCGGAGAATGTGGTTCAAAAGCCAGCCCGGGCAGAAAGTCCATAAGATTCTTTTTTTTTTTTTTTTTTGGTCCGGTCGTGGGGCCTGACCTCTGGGCCTGGGTGCTGTCCCTCAGTTCTTCAGCTCAAGACGAACACTCTACCACTTGAGCCACAGTGCCACTTCTGGCTTTTTTCTTTTTGCTTATGTGGTGCTGAGGAATTGAACCCAGGGCCTCAAGCATGCAAGGCAAGCACTCTACCACTGAGCCACCTTCCCAGCCCCCATAAGATTCTTATCTCCAATCAACCACCAGAAAATGGAAGAGCTGTGGCTCAAAGTGGCAGAGTGCCAGCCTTGAGTCAAAGAGCTCAGGGACAGCACCTAGGCCCTGAGTTCGAGCCTCACAACCAACAAAACAAACAAAGGCTCCCCCCCCCCCACCTCCCGATAATTTAATTTAGGCACAAATAAAACTTCTACAGTTTAGGGCTTTTTAAGCCAGAAGTGGCACTGTGGCTCAAGTAGTAGAGTGCTAGCCTTGAGCTGAAGAGCTGAGGGACAACGCCCAGGCCCAGAGTTCAGGCCCACGACTGGGCCATTAAAAAAATGAAAAACAAACAAACAAACAAAATCTTGTACATCTACAACAGCACAATACATTCTCTCTCATTGCTGTTCTGTGTTTCAAATCTCCAGGCCATCATGAAAATTAAAATGGCCTCATGCCAAGAACCGTCCTTTCTTCTGTGTGGCCCGATGAACAGACAGGGTGTGCCTCAGACCCGCCACCTGCCCTGCTGGGTACTCACCATGTGGTGTCTCCGGAACTGGTGACGATCTGATTGTCATCCAGGAATCGGCAGCAGGACAAGTACCCTGGCAAAGAGCAGAGCCAGTGAGGACCCAAACCTGAAAGCTCTGCCTCTACAACCACTTAAATGTAGAACCATGGAAGCACAATGATACTCCTTAAGCGTCCTGTGTCTGACCCCGACTGCTAGCATAATAAACCCAACAATGCAGGTAGGTAGGAGGTGCTGTGGAGTTATGGTGAAACCCCCATCAAGAGGGTCAATGCCAGACAGTGCCTCACAGTCCTTCAGACGGCAGAGCAGCCAGAGCCATCCACACAACACCTGAGTCTCCCACTTGCTTTTCTGTCCAGCAAACTGAAGGCAAAAACAGACACCTGGTCACATCCTCCAGGGACGGAGGATGAACGAATCCCATCATGGGAGGAAGAGTCTGGCCCACAGAGGTGCCAGAGTCTCCACCTAAGCTCTTCTTCTTCCTGACTGGTGCCCTGGGGCCACTGCCCTTCCTCCTAGTCAGCACAGCCATCCTTCCCTTCCTTTGACCTTGACAGCGCTACTTCATCCCATGCAACATACAAGCACAGAGGGAGGCGGGAGCCAGAGATCCCACTGCAAATCACACAGGACTCAAGTTGGCTGTCCAGGCTGTGTCACACCCCCCCCCCCACTTTTTCTTTTTTAGGGTCCGGTCGTGGGGCCTGAACTCTGGGCCTGGGCGCTGTCCCTCAGCTCTTCAGCTCAAGGCGAGCGCTCTACCACTGAGCCACCTTCCCAGCCCCATACCTCCACACTTTTCGTGGCTTCTTACCCCAACAACCAGAGACTGGCTAGGGAGTCACGTCTCTGAACTCTGACACAAGCCTTCAGATGGGCACTAGGCCTCCAACTGGAAATCCCCAAGGCTCTGGGTGGCACCCAAAGCCCCTAGGTAGAGTTCCTCTGGTAACTCCCTGCAGTTAAAAGCTTTCAGAATTTGTACAAGGGGCTGGGAAGGTGGCTCAGTGGTAGAGTGCTTGTCTTGCATGCATGAAGACTTGGGTTTGATTCCTCAGTACCATATAAACAGAAGAAGCTGGAAGTGGTGCTGTAGCTCAAGTGGTAGAGTGCTAGACTTAAGGAAAAAAGTCCAGGGCTGGGAAGGTGGCTCAGTGGTAGAGTGCTTATCTTGAATACATGAGGCCCTGAGTTTGATTCCTCAGCACCACATAAGCAGAAAAAGCCAGAAGTGGCGCTATGGTTTGAGTGGTAGAGCACTAGCCTTGAGCTGAAGAGCTGAGGGACAGCACCCAGGCCCATAACTGGCCAAAAAAAAAAAAGTCCAGAGACAGTGCCTAAGCCCTTAGTTCAAGCCCCAGGACTGGCAAAAACAAAAAGCAACAACAATAACAACAACAACAACAAACCCAAAGAACAGAATTTGCACAGTTGTGTTGTTGGGGACATAGCTCTGTGGCAAATTGCTTGCCTAGCATGCTTTGGTTTTCAACCTCAGCTCCACAAAAAGAAAAAAATATAAAAATCACAATGTAGTTCTGGATGTTATTTTGAACTTCCTTTCCCAAACTTCTCCTGTGCATACACCTTTGTAGTTTAGCTCCTAGCCTGACCGTAAAAGGTGTCCAGGGTCAGTTACTGCTATGAGGTCAGATGAAAAAGGAATTTACTTGTGCTGTATACTACTCAGGCCCAGGAACAAAGCCAAGTCTTCGCAAGTTTCTGTCCTAGGGAAGGGCAGAGCTGTCTGCCTAGAAATGAACTGTAAGAAAAGTGACCTACACACTACTCATGGTAGGACTGGGTTGACAAAGAGATTAAAGGTACCCACTGAGTTGTACGATGCCCATGTGAAAAGAGTTTCTTCTTGTTGTTGGTTATGGGGCTTGAACTCTTGGCCTAGGAACTGTCCCTGAGGTATTCAGTTTAAGGCAAGTGCTCTACCACTTGAGCCACAGGGTCATTCCGGTTTTCTGGTGGTTTACTGGAGTGTCTCATGGACTTTCCTGCCTGGGCTGGCTTTGAACATCAATCCTCAGATCTCAGCCTCCTGAGTAGCTAGGATTACAGGTATGAGCCACCAGTGCCTGGCTGAAAACTTGGTTCAAACTGCATGTAAAAAGAAACTGGTACTGTGGAACTCACTAGACACTATGTTGAAAATGAACTACAAAATTTGTGAATAGGAATGGAAGACAGCGAGGGAAGGGGTGGTATTGTCTAAAAAAAGATGCATTCTTTGCCTGACTTATGTAACTGTAAACCTCTCTGTAAAACACCTTTATAACAATAAAAAATAAAAAGAACATCTGTAGCTAGGTACCAGTGACTCATGCCTGTAATCCTAGTTACTCAAGAGGCTGAGATCCCAGGATCGTGGTTTAAAGCTAGCTTGGATAACAAAGTCTAGGAGACTCTCATCTCCAATTAACTAACAAAAAGAAAAAAGTGGAGCAGTAGCAAGTATTAGAGCACTAGTCTTGAGCACAAAAGCTCAGGGCCATTGCCCTAAACCCAGAGTTCAAGCCCTAGGACTGGCAAAAAAAGATAAAAGGTAAGGTCAAGCACACATACACCATACAAATATATATGTACATATAAACAGAATAGGGCTGGGAAGGTAGCTCAGTGGTAGAGCACTTGCCTTGCATGCCTGAGGCCCTGGGTTCGATTCCTCAGCACCACATAAGCAAAAAGGAAAAAAAGCCGGAAGTGGTGCTGTGGCTCAAGTGGCAGAGCGCTAGCCTTGAGCTGAAGAGCTGAGGGACAGCGCCCAGGCCCAGAGTTCAGGCCCCATAACTGGACACCCAAAAAAATAAATAAACAGAATATACGCAAACACACACATATACAACACACATGTTCAGTTAAATTAGAAAAGGCGCTCAAGTTGGAAGATGGTTTAGGACAGAAAGGAGTTGCTAACAATTAAGAGTGAACAAATCCATGTATTTCTTATTGGGAAAGGTATTTTTGGAAATTTTATGGCCATTACCTTAATTTCTGTGTGAAACAGTCTTAGTAACAATGGTTGACAAGAGGGGCTATTGGGTAAGCAGTGTGTATACCAGTGAGGTGACAAATGACATGTACCTGTATGTCCTGCCAGCTCACGACTCACACGCACATTCCCTTCACGAGTTTTCAGATTGTAAATGGAGCAAATGTTGTCCAGGCCCCCACAGGCCACATAGTTCCCAGAAGGGGCATACGCACAGGTCATGACCCAGGAGGAGCGCAGAGGGATGGCGTGGACCTACAAAACAGGAACACAAAGGAAACTCCTTAAAATTCAAGAACATAAACTACTAGCCGGTGTAGTGGTGCATGCTTCTTTCCCAGATGCTGGGTAGTCCAAAGCAGGAGAGGATCACTCCGTGGACAGAAGGTGCAAGGGCACCCTGAACTACACAAATGAGACCGCTGTCTCCCAGAAGAACCCAAACTAAAACAAAGGACACATTGAAAACACGTCAAAAGCTTTGTCAAAATGGCTATATAAACTCATTTTAAAAAAACAGATGTTTTTAAAATAATCAACTAGACATCTACATTATTCAATCCTGCCAATACCTCACAATATAAATTGGTTGGGACTTCTGCAATCTTTAGTACACACTTAGTATTCTGTAGCAAAACAAAATTGAAGGGGCTGGAAAGGTGGCTCAGTGGTAGAGCGCTTGCCTTGCATGCCTGAGGCCCTGGGTTCGATTCCTCAGCACCACATAAGCAAAAAGAAAAAAAGCAGAAGTGGCGCTGTGGCTGAAGTGGTAGAGCGCTAGCCTTGAGCTGAAGAGCTGGACCCCCCCCCTAAAAAAAAAAACAAATATAATTGAAGTAGTTTACCTATATATGTGGACTGACAACACTAACTTATAGTAATTTTGTTGTTGTTGATCACGGGGCTTGAACTCTGGGCTTGGGTGCTGTCTCTCAGATCTTCAGCTCAAGGCTAGCCCTTAACCACTTGAGTCACAGTGCCATTTCTGGTTTTCTGGTGGTTTACTGAAGAGTCTCACAGACTGCTGCCCAGGCTGGCTTTGATCTGTGATCCTCATATCTCAGCCTCCTGAGTAGCTAGGATGACAGGTGTGAGCCACCAGCACACAGCTTATTTTTTTTAAAAACACAGTGCTGGGATTTGTGCTTGCTTAGCCCTACCCCAGGCTTCCTTTATTATTTTTCTGAGACTGGGTTTGTGTTTTCCAGGCTGAAGTTTTTTTTTTTTCGGTCGGTCATCGGGCTTGAACTCTGGGCCTCGGCACTGTTCCTGCGCTCTTCGGTGAGGGCGCTACTGCTTGAACCCCAGTGCCACCTCCCGTTTTCTAGTGGTTTATTGGAGATAAGAGTCTCATGGCCTTTCCTGCCTGGGCTGGCTTTGAACAGTGATCCTCAGATCTCAGCCTAAGTAGCTAGGATTACAGGTGTGAGCCACCAGTACCCAGCTTACAGAATCTTTCAGATTGATTGATTTTTGGTGCAGGTCCTGTGAGCTGTCCCTGAGCTTTTGTGCAAGGACAGAACTCCACTACTTGAGCTACAACTCCACTTCTGGCTTTTTATTGGTGAATCAGAGATAAGAGTTACATGTACTTTCCTGCCAGGTCTGGTTTTGAACTGCGATCCTCAGATCTCAGCCTCTTAAGTAGCTAGGATTACAGGTGTGAACAAATGGTGCTTGGCCTCAGATTCTCTTTTGAAAAACAAAACAAGCCAGGGACCAGTGGCTCATGACTGTAATCCTAGCTACTCAGGAGGCTGAGATCTGAGACTCACTGTTCAAAGCCAGAACCAGCAACAAAGTCCGTGAGACTTTTATCTCCAACTAACCACCAAAAAGCCAGAAGTGGAGCTGTGGCTCAATCACTTGCTATCCTTTAAGCACAAAAGCTCAGAGGCAGTGCCCAGGCATTGAGTTCAAGCCCCAGGATCAACAAAAAAGAAAAAGGACAAAAAAAAAAAAAAACACTCCAAGCCTATTAACTAGGAAAGAAAAAAAAGCTACATTTGTCTTCTATAAATAAGATATGGAACTTGTTGGACTGAGCTAAGTCAGGCCATCATTCAGCTCCCACCTACATAGTAAAGACATGAGAATCACAGTACTGTGTCCTCAGTAGAAGAAACCAAAAATTTAAGCCCACAGGCAGCTCTCTGTCCCCGAGAAAACCTCACTACTACACACAGAGTAGGCAGGGACCGCCCTGTGGCTGGCCCAAGTCAGGGAACAGCCGTGAACAGTTCTGTGGTGGTGTTCTGGCAATGGGTCTTACATAGCCTACCTTGTTTGTGGTGTAACTGTCCCAAATGATGAGTTTTCCATCCTGGGAGGCGCTGACAAGAAGTCTGGAGAAAACAAAACAAAACAAAAAAAATCAGAAATATTACGAAGGAAGCAAAAGGAAACTGGAACTTGGTGAGCTCAGTTCTAATGTGATTCAATGCTATATTTGCTTGGGACAAAGTACACAAAGAAAGGGCTGGGAAGGTGGCTCAGTGGTAGAGCGCTTGTCTTGCATGCCTGAGGCCCTGGGTTCGATTCCTCAGCACCACATAAGCAAAAAAAGAAAAAAGCCAGAAGTGGCGCTGTGACTCAAGTGGTAGAGCGCTAGCCTTGAGCTGAAGAGCTGAGGGACAGCGCCCAGGCCCAGAGTTCAGGCCCCACAACCGGACCCCCCCCCCAAAAAAAAAGGTACACAAAGCAAGAAAGAAAGAAAAAAGGAAGGAAGGAAGGAGAAAAGAAAAAAAAGAGGGCAGGGTGGGGGAGAAGATGGGAAGGGATGGGAAGGGAAAACAAAGGAGGAGGCAACAATTCTTTTTTTTTTTTTTTTTGGGGGGGGGGGTCCGGTTGTGGGGCCTGAACTCTGGGCCTGGGCGCTGTCCCTCAGCTCTTCAGCTCAAGGCTAGCGCTCTACCACTTGAGTCCACAGCGCCACTTCCGGCTTTTTTCTTTTTGCTTATGTGGTGCTGAGGAATCGAACCCAGGGCCTCATGCATGCAAGGCAAGCGCTCTACCACTGAGCCGCCTTCCCAGCCCCGGAGGCAACAATTCTTGATAAGAAATGTAGTCATTACCTTGCCCATGTAATTGTAACCTCTCTGTACAGTATTTTCACAATTAAAAAAAAAAAGAGGGCCCAGAGGTTGCTTAGCAGTACAACGCTTGCCTAGCACGCATGAAACCCTGACTTCCATTCCTCAGTACCACATAAGGCCAGAAGTGGCACTGTGACTCAAGTAGTAGAGTTCTAGCCTTGAGTGAAGGTCGCTTAGGGACAGTCCTCAGGCCCTGAGTTCAAACCCCAGGACTGGTAACAAACAAACACACACCAGAATATCAGGAGTAGTGCTGTGGCTCAAAGCAGAAAGGCTCACCGATAGCACCATGACACTTCCTAGACTAAACTAAGTCTGCAATCCAAGTTTCTACTCCGCTCCACCTGGACGCTGTACTGTACCTCACCTGGCAAGAGCGGCGATGAGCTGTTTCACGACTGTCTCCTTGCTCTGAGCAAGAATGCTAAGTGTGGGATCTATGTTCTGAGAACTCACTTTGTACTTGTAGATTTTTTTTTTGGCTGGTCATGGGTCTTGAACTCTGGGCCTGGGCACTGTCCCTAAGCTGCTCAAGGTGAGCGCTCCACCACAGCAGCATTTCAGGTTCTTCTGATGGTTTACTAGAGATAAGAGTCTCAGACTGGGGCTGGGAAGGTGGCTCAGTGGTAGAGCGCTTGCCTTGCATGCATGAGGCCCTGGTTTCTATTCCTCAGCACCACGTAAGTAAAAAGAAAAAAGCTGGAAGTGGCGCTGTGGCTCAAGTGGTAGAGTGCTAGCCTTGAGCTGAAGAACTGAGAGACATCTGAGCCCAGAGTTCAGGCCCCACAACCAGACCCCCCCCCCAAAAAAGTCTCAGACTGCCTGGCGCCGATGGCTCACACCTATAATCCTAGCTACTTAGGAGGCTGAGATCTGAGGATCGAGGTTCAAAGCCAGCTTTGAGACTCTTATCTCTAATAAAACACTAGAAAACCGACGACAGTGGCGCTGTGGCTCAAGCGGTAGAGAGCTTGCCTTGAGCTGAAGAGTGCAGGGATGAGGATTACAGGTGTGAGCCACTGGCGCCCAGCTTGTATTTGCAGAATCAAGACAGAATATTGCAAAAGGACGGTATGACTAACATGGAAAGGAATTTTAGGTATCTGGAAAACAAACAGGCTAGAATGATTCTGGGATACACAGCTACTCAAAAGGAATCCTGCAGAGCAGGGAGCCTACGGAATATGGTGTCAAGAAGACCCTTGCATGCCAGCGCCAGTGGCTCACGCCTGTAATCTTAGCTACTCAGGAGGCTGAGTTCTGAGGATTGTGGTTCAAAGCCAGCCTGGGCAGGAAAGTCCGGAGTCTTATCTCCGATAAACCACTAGAAAACTGGAAGTGGCACTATGGTTCAAGTGGTAGAGCGCTCGCCTTGAGCTGAAGAGCACAGGGACAGCAAACAAGCCCAGAGTTCAAGCCCCACGACCGACAAAAAAAAAGAAGAAGAAGAAGAAGAAGACCCTTGCAATGGCTTGCAAAGCTACATCACTGTCACAATGAACAGCGGGGCACAAGTGGCTCAGGCCTATAACTAACTATGCAGGAGACTGGGTTTCTGGGGACTGAGGCTCAAAGCCAGTTGGAGCAGAAAAGTTTATGATATTCCATATCCAAAATAACCAGTTTAAAGCTTGTTTGGTAGGCTGGAGACATGGTTCAAGTAGTAAGTAGCACACCAGTCAATCCAGCAAGCTGAAAGGGTCCTCCATTAAAACCTTGGTACAATAAAAAATAAAACAAAATAGCCAAGTGCTGGTGGCTCATGCCTGTATTCCTAGCTACTCAGGAGACTGAGATCTGAGGATCATGGTTCAAAGCCAGCTCTGGCAGGAAAGTCCAACAGACTTCAGATTCCATCAGACTCCAATAAACCATTTAGGAAAACAAAAGTGGTGCTGTGGCTCAAGTGATTGAGCACCAGCCTTGAGCTGAAGAGCTCCACAGCGCCCAGGCCCACAGTTGAAGCCCCATGACGGCATAAAAATAAATAAATAAGCCGGGCGCTGGTGGCTCACACCTGTAATCCTAACTACTCAGGAGGCTGAGATCTGAGGATCGAGGTTCAAAGCCAGCCCGGGCAGGAGAGACCGTAAGACTCCTATTTCCAATAAGCCACCAGGAAACCGGAAGTGGCGCTGTAGCTCAAGTGGCAGAGCGCTCGCATTGAGCTGAAGAGCTGAGGGACAGCACCCAGGCCCAGAGTTCAAGCCCCACGACTGACAAAAAAAATAAAATAAAAAAATAAAAATAAACAAACCAATAAACCACTTCAGTACTTTGGCATAAAATACATCACAGAGCCAGGCACCAATGACTCAAGACTGTAATCCTAGCTAGTCAAGAGCAAATCAAGTCCAAAGCCAGCCCTAACAGGAAAGTCCATGAGACTCTTATCTCCAAGTAACCAGCAAAAACCAGAAGTGGAGTTGTGGTTCAAGTGGTAGAGTGTCAGCCTTGAGCTTTTTAAAAAAAGCTCAGGGATAGTGCTCAGGCCCTGAAATCAAACCCCAAGACCAGCACAAAAACCAAGCAATCAATTAAATCAATCAATAACATAAGTAAATAAAGTGTAGGTAGCAATCCTGTTGCTTTGAAGATACAACTTTTTTAGTAGTACTAGAAATGGTATCCAAGGCTTTGGCCATGATGCCAAGTGCTCTAACACTGAGCAACGCCTCCAACTGCAACAGTCTATCTACAGGATGTTCGGGACACTCGGGGTGGTTACACAGCTTCTACCACTGAGCAGAGTCCCACCCCTCCAATGATTCTTAGCGCCAACTCCTCCTTTCATGTTCTCTCACCCACACACCACAGAACCGTAGAAGGCACAACTCTGCTGCTCTGCTCCTGCCTGGTCCCTCTGAGGTTTTGAGCAGAGTATCGGGTCACCTTCAGAGCAGTCCAGGGTCAGTCAGCTTAAAAACTGCTGACTGGCTGAGCTGTGTACTCACTGATCCTCTGGAAGGTGAGGAGACACGCCTTCCAGTAACCCCAGGTCAGGTGCTCTTCCTTACCCTTACTTAGGGCAGGTCCCATACAGTCAGCTTCCTGTGCCCTAGCACTGATCTACCCTCCCAAAGGAGATGCAGGGCAGGAGGAACCCCAAGGACAGAGAAAACTGCCCCAGGCCAACACCTCATTCTTCTTGGGCCAGGGTTCTCTCATAGAGAGCTCCTCAGACCTTGAAGAGGGAAAAAATTTATCTACGTGACAAAAATTGTATCCCAAATGTTATTTAAAAACTCAAATTTTAGCCAGGCGCCGGTGGTTCATGCCTGTAATCCTAGCTACTCAGGAGACTGAGATCTGAGGATTGGGTTCAAAGCCAGCCCAGGCAGGAAAGTCCGTGAAACTCTTGTCTCCAATAAACCACCAGAAAACTGGAAGTGGCGCTGTGGCTCAAGTGGTAGAGCACTAGCCTTGAGCTGAAGAGCTGAGGACAGCGGAGGCAACAATTCTTGATAAGAAATGTAGTCATTACCTTGCCCATGTAATTGTAATCCCTCTGTACAGTATTTTCACAATTAAAAAAAAAATTTGAGGGCTGGGAAGGTGGCCCAGTGGTAGAGCGCTTGCCTCACATGAACGAGGCCCTGGGTTCGATTCCTCAGCACCACATACACAGAAAAAGCCTGAACTGGCGCTGTGGCTCAAGTGGTAGGACACTAGCCTTGAGCTGAAGAGCTGAGGGACAGCACCCAGGCCCAGAGTTCAAGTTCCAGAAATGGCACACACATAAAAAAAAAGTAGGATATATATTACTTTGGTGTGGAAGGGTTTGAACTCACGAGTCACACGGCTGAGCCCCAGCTGACCTTCTGTGTGCTGTGTATTTTTGAACAGGTCACCCCCTCCACCCCAACATGTGCCTACACAGGAGTGTAGGCCATTTCAGACTTCCTGTTGTGGCTGGGACAACAGGCAGCGTCACTGTGACGCCCAGGATCTCAGCCTCCACATAACCAGGCTGACAGGTGTGGGCAGAGGGCTCGGCTATTGAGAAAGGAGCCCATAGACTTTTCTGTTTAGCTTTAGACTTAAAATCATCCTGACATAGCTAGGAATGTAGGTAGGAGCCACTTGCACCCAGCTGAAATCCAGAGCTCCACTTTCACGTTTTGGTGGTTAACTAAAGAAGCTCATGGACTTTCCTGCCTAGCCTGTCTTTGAACTACAATCTTCAGATCTCAGCCTCCTGAGTAGGCAGGATTATGGAGTAAGCCACCGGTGCCCAGTTAAGATTACTTTTTATATACTTCAACATATACACACAAGTCACTCACTGATGTACCTCAGTTTGAAAAACAAACTGCTAGCCACCACAATAATTTAACTGTCCACATGTCATATAAATAAAAACATACCTGCAGTTATGAATATAGCCTATGTCATGAAAAAGAAACTTTTTCTTTTTGGTGTTTGAGACAGCTTCTCTCTGTATAGAGCTCATGATCCTATTACCATTGCCCCCCACCACTGCTGAGATCTCAGCCGTGCACATCCACACCTTTCAAAGCAAAAGCAGTTAGCAGTATCACTTCTAACATATAATCCATTTAAGTCAATGTACCAATTAAAATTTTTATGTATTTCACTGTAGTGCTATGACAACAAATGACATCTGTGTGCCAGGGTACTTGTGCACAGCTGTTAAGATTCACCATTGCCATAATATTTATTAACTCTTGGAGGAGGCAGGCATGTAAGATGGCCACACTAAATACAGTTCTGCTTTTTGCTCTCAGATTTTTATTTATTTTTTTGGGTTGGTCATGGGGCTTGAACTCTGGGCCTGGGCGCTGTCCCTCAGCTCTTCAGCTCAAGGCTAGCACCCTACTACTTGAGCCTCAGTGACACTTTTGGCTTTTCCTGTTTATGTGGTGCTGAGGAATTGAACCCAGGGCCTCATGCATGAGAGGCAAGCACTCTACCGCTGAGCGACCTTCCCAGACCCTCAGATTTTACTTTTTTATTTTTTTCACATCAGATGGGTAATATGCCCATGTTGTAACAAGGTTTAGAGGAGGCACATGTCACGCAAGCGCGTGAGAACCCAATCATCATGCTCATTTTATTTTTATGTTTTGTCTTAAAAAAAAAATTATGGGGCTGGGAAGCTATGCCTATAGTTCCTTTATTTTGTTTGTTTGTATGTATATGTGTGTGTGTATATGTGTGTATGTATGTATTTATTTTTGGTCAGTCATGGGGCTTGAACTCAGGGCCTGGGTGCCATCCCTGAGTTCTTTTTCTCAAGGTTAGCACTCTACCACTTTTGAGATTTTCCTGCCTGGGCTGGCTTTGAACTGTGATCCTCAGACCTTAGCCACCTGAATAGCTTCAGGATTACAGGTATAAGCCACCAGCCAAGGCCCATAAATTATTTACTTATTTTTGCCAGTCCTGGGGCTTGAGCTCAGGACCTGAGCACTACCCTTCAGCTTCTTTTTGCTCAAGGTTAGCACTCTACCACAACACTACTTCTGGGCTTTTTCTGTGGTGCTGAGGAATTGAATCCAGGGCTTCATGCATGCTAGGCAAGTACTCTACTACTAGGCCATATTCCCAGCCCCATAATTTTAATTTTTAATTATATTTATTTATACATTTAATATAATATATATATATTTATATACTATATATTTATTTATAGAGTACACCATGATTTGATAACCATTTACGTTTTAGATTGTTAAACTTATTAATTTATCCATCATTTCCCATGCTTATTCATTTTTGTAGTGAGCATATTTATGTTTTGTTTTTTCTTTTTTGGTCTAGTTGTGGGGCCTGAACTCGGGGCCTGGGTACTGTCTCTCAGCTCTTCAGCTCAAGGCTAGTGCTCTACCACTTGAGCCACAGCACCACTTCTGGCTTTTTTCTTTTTGCTAATGTGGTGCTGAGGAATCGAACCCAGGGCCTCAGGCATACAAGGCAAGCGCTCTACCACTGAGCCACTTTCCCAGCCCCAATTTTTTTTTTTTGGGTCCGGGCATGGGGCTTGAACTCTGGGCCTGGGCGCTGTCCCTCAGATCTTCAGCTCAAGGCTAGCGCTCTACCACTTGAGCCACAGTGCCACTTCTGGCTTTTTTCTTTTTGCTTATGTGGTGCTAAGGAATTGAACACAGGGCCTCAGGCATGCAAGGCAAGCGCTCTACCACTGAACCACCTTCCCAGCCCTGTAGTGAGCATATTTAAAACCTAATCTATCGGCCAGGTGAGTGGGGTGGCTCATGCTTATAGTCTGAGTTACTCAGAAAATAAGAGTTTGGGGCTAGGAAGGTGGCTCAGTGGTAGAGCGCTTGCCTTGTGTGCCCGAGGCCCTGGGTTCGATTCCTCAGCACCACATAAGCAAACAGAAAAAAGCCGAAGTAGTGCTGTGGCTCAAGTGGTAGAGCACTAGCCTTGAGCTGAAGAGCTGAGGGACAGTGCCCAGGCCCAGAGTTCAGGCCCCACAACCGGACCCCCCCCCCAAAAAAAATTGTGGATCCAATAAACCATCAGAAAACTGGAAGTGGTGTGTGGCTTAAGTGGTAGAGTACTTGCTTTGAGCTAAAGAGCACACGGATAGTGCTCAAGCCCAGAGTTCAAGCCCCATGACCGAGCAAAGAAAAAAGAAAAAAAATGCAAAACCCTATTGACATACTTACTGAAGGACTGTCTCAAGTAGTGGGCCACCTGCCTAGTAAACACAAAATCCCAAGTTTTCTGAGCCAGTGTGTGTACCCTCTTTCCTATTTTATTCTGATTGCTGTCATCACTAAAAACATCACGCACTCATCTGCAAATGAAATTGTATGAGACCCTCTGTTGAACAAACTAAAGATAGAATCTTTTGTTCTCTGGCTGTTTACCAGAATAAAGAAAAAGAAAGCCAAGCAGAAAATTCCACTGACAACTGAATGGGAAACAAGCAGAAGATGGGCCCAGTGGGAGGACGGTGACGGCCACTAGTATTACATGTGCCCCGTGCCTGCCACGGGGAGGCCAACAGAGTCCACATGCTCTCAGACCACTCATCCTCCAGCCAGGCCAGCTCTAGCATTCTGACCAAGGATCTTGGAGCTACAGGAACAAGATGGGAAGGGGAGGAATCAGAGCAGGGAAAGGAGAACAACTTCCCGTGGGGTGTCCCAAGAGTAGCCTGCAGGAGAGCCGGGAGTATGAGGGTCCCGAGAGGAAAGGGAGGCAAGGAGCAAGGAGGACAGAGCTGGCAGCGGCAAGAAAGTGCAGAGCTGGGGTAGCTGGTGTCTCATGCAGAGCTGGGATCACATGCCTCTTTTGGGTGGCAAAGACAACAGCAGAGCCGGGCGCCGGTGGCTCACGCCTATAATCCTAGCTATTCAGGAGGCTGCGATCTGAGCATCAGATCTGAGGATCAGCCAGCGTCGGCAGGAAAATCTGTGAGACTCTTATCGCCAATAAAAACCACTAGAAAACCAGAACTGGCATTGTAGCTCAAGTGGTACAGTGCTCGCCTTGAGCTGAAGAGCTGAGGGACAGCGCCCAGGCCCAGAGTTCAGGCCTCCCGACCAAAAAAAAAAGACAACAGCAGCCAGCTCAAGCCCTGCAAGGAGCTGTGCATGCTAGACCTGGCTTACTTTCAAACTTGTATCATATACTAGAAATCAGAACAGTTTACAGGACCATGAGTACCTGGAGTCTGTGCCCCAATGCATGGCATAGATCTTAGCCAGGTGTCCGCGCAGTGTCCTTCGGGTACGCATCTGGATTCTTCCCACTGGGTCAATGTTGTTTGTGATCTTAAAAATAAATTAAGAGTTACCACAGGATAACATCGGCAGCTGCGGCTCTGCTTTGGTGATCTCTTGCTCCCTACCCGCTCTGGCTTTCTAACCCTACTACTGCATGCACACACCAGACATCTTCAGACACTGTCTTCTTCCTTTTTTCACTTCTCCCCACACTGGTCTAACAGGCCTGGCTCCTCTGACCCCTCACAGAATGCTCACTCAACATGAAAGTAACTACATTGGCTAACTTTGTATAATCACTGCCGCAATCATTGAGCAGTGCGCCCACTCCCCTACCCCGATCCCAGGCAAACACCATCATCTACATTGTCTCCAAGGGTATTTCCCCATTTTGGAAATTTCATACGAATGCAATCAGAAAATGCAAAACCCATGTAGTCTGCTTTTTGTTCTTTCATCAAAATGCTTCTGAAGGCTAGCCATGTTGTAGCATGTTGCTGCTGCATTTCTTTTCATAACTGAGTAATATTCCATTACATGGATATATTATAATAATAGGAATTCTAGACTTCTTCTACCTTATAGCTACTATGGAGGCTTTCAGTAAAAACTTGGTGCACAGCGTGACCGCAACATTGACAATTTTGCTTTCTGTGGTTTCAGTTACCCATGGTCAACAGAGGCACCTGGGTTAGGTAATTTATGAATTTACAACTCTACTCTGTTCTGAGTTGCATGATACTTGATGCTGACCCAGTCTGCCCCACCCACCCAGAATGTAAATCATTTTGTCCAGCCCCGTGCTGTGAACACACCACCTTTCAGCTGTTCAGAAGCTGACTAAGACTGTTAAGACTCCAGCAGTGCTGCAGCACCCCCAGACCCACAACCTGTAACAATCACCTCATTTTATCTTGTTATTCCCCAGGCTTTAATAAAGCCTGGTAAGATATCTAACAGCGTACGTCCACATAACTATTACAGGACATTGTCATGACTTTATCTTAGTTATTATTAATCTCTTTTGGTGCCTAATTTCACAAATTAAATTATTTTCGAATGTAGGACAAAACATACTATCTATAAGGTCTAGTGCTGTAGGAAGGTCAAGCATACACGGACAGCTTCCCCCAAAGACAAGGGGACAAGATGACTGTTTGAAAACCAGTTTTCAATTCTTCTGGCATATCTATCCAGCAGTCAGACTGCTGGGTGATATGGCAATTCTAAGTTTAACAGTTTGAGTAACTGTCAAGCTGTCAAAAATTGCAGTGTTGTCTGAGAAAAATGTCAAATACTTTAGACAAAAATGGTATCTTAAGACTACTTCCTCTATGCTAGGAAGTAATCCTTAAAGGCCAGAGAAATAAATTCTGGTTATCTGTGCCTATCACCACAATGACTTCCGAATGAAAGGTGCTGGCAGAGCTTTGTGCTCCACTGCACAGGAAAGGCACAGCAAGCCCATTCCTGCCTGCCTAGCCTCTGCCCAAGCAAACAACTTACCTGGGAGAGAGTTGCATCTGCACAGGCTTTTCGAGCATCCTAAGAAATAATGACAAAAGGAATTAGTCATGATTCTCCCATCCAACCCCAGGCCCTCATCCACCAAAGCGTCAGAGGGACTCCACAAACTGTGAGGGTAAAAGCAGAATGTAGCTCTTATATACTTCACTGATGCGAATTTTCTTTTAAAGTACAAGGAAAATAATCTTATTTTTAAAAAGCAGAGTGTGTACAATGATGGAGCACTCTTTTCAAAACTTCCTTTTTTGGCCAGGCATTGGTGGCTCACACCTGTAATCCTAGCTACTCAGAGGCTGAGATCTGAGGATTGCAGTACAAAGCCAGCCCAAGCAGCAAAGTCTGTGAGATTCTCATCTCTAGAAGAAGGCCTGTGACAGAGCATTAGCCTAGACAGTGCCCAGAACCAGCACAGAAACAAAACAACACAAAACACTTCCTTTCTTCTAATGCTCCCTGCTCTTGCCCAAGGCCAGTAGAGGTGGAGACAACAACAAACAAAAGCCTGGTAAAAACAGACCCATCTAAGACATGCACATTCCTTATCCAAACAGGGCAAAGCCCTAGGAACCCCACTGAACTGTGGAGGCAGAGGCTGCCTTCCCACAGGGCACACCCATTTCCCTTCTCACAGTCAGGCTGAGGTCAGGTGGGACTAGCGTGGCCCAGGAAAAACAGGATCAAAACACCTGCTATTCAAGCAAAAAACAAACAAAAACAGCACTAAAACTTTCTCTTTGAGCCAAACAATCATTAAATCCACGTTACAGGAAAAGAACAAAGGAACCCGGAAGAGACAATCAATTCCAATGTGATTTTCTGGTTGATGCTATCTTGTCAACTATCTTCTAGAAGACCTAGCAATACAGTGATGTATGATGTTGAGATATCCCACATCCAGTGAAATTTCTATATTAACTGAACATGACTGAAGTGCTGGAAAATGAGTCTTAAGGGCTGAGGCCTAACACCTGCACAGCAAGCACAGTATCTTAGGTTCAAACCCACTAACACAAAAGAAAAAAAGTACTGAAATCCAAAACAGCATACATTATAAAGAAAATTGAATAGCTTTAAAAGTTTCAAAATCTGGCCTGGGAAGGTGGCTCAGTCGTACAGTGCTTGCCTTGCATGCCTGAGGCCCTGGGTTCGATTCCTCAGTACCACATAAGCAAAAAGAAAAAAGCCGGAAGTGGCGCTGTGGCTCAAGTGGTAGAGCACTAGCCTTGAGCTGAAGAGCTGAGGGACAGTGCCCAGGCCCAGAGTTCAGGCCCCACAACCAGACCCTCCCCCCCCCCAATTTTTTTTTTTCAAAATCCGAGAGTAGGAATAATTTGAAGGAGAGAGATTATGACAACTTCCACTAGGAAAGATGTTTCTATGATGCTGTTGTCTGATCAGCTACTTCTGAAGTGGCAGCCAGCCACCGGAGAGCATCCTCCACGGTGCACGTCCTGATCCACGGTAGGCACAGAGTGCCTCGGGTAAACTGGCTCACTTATGAAGCAGGGATAACACAAAAGTACACTGAAATGACCATTACTGTATGAATACATCAAATCTTTAGATTACAAATTCGTCTTTGGTTTGAAAAACAGTAACACAAATGTTTATTTTGCTGTTTTGCTTTATGTGTGCTGGTCATGGGCTTGAACTCAGGGCCTAGGCATTGTCCCTGAGTTTTCATTGCTCAGGGATAGTGCTCTAGCACTTGGGCCACAGCTCCACCAGTTACTTTGAGGTAATTAATTGGAGATAAGAGTCTTAGGACTTCCCTCCCCTGGCTGTCTTTGAACTATGATTCTCAGGTCTCAGCTTCCTGAGTAGTATAAGGCTGCTTTCCTAGGAGGATCATGCTTGTTATCCCCAAAATAATAAGGCTGGAGGCATGAATCACAAGTAGGACACTTGCCTAGCAAGCATGAAGGACTGAGTTTAAACTCCACTTTCATAACCACATCCACACTATGTGTTAACTAAAATGATATTTGAGATATTAGATGAGATGAAAATTTTCAAGATGACCTCTACTTGTTTCTTTGTACATTTTAATTGTGGTAATGAAAACATGTAAAGCCAGGTGCTGGTGGCTCTTGCCTGTAATCCTAGCTACTCAGGAGGGCCAAGATCTGAGGATCAAAGCCAGTTCAGGCAGGAAAGTCTCTTGAAACTTTTATCTCCAATTAACAACAGGAAAACTGGAAGAAGCTGGGCACTGTTGTAATCCTAGCTACTCAGGAGGCTGAGATAGAAGTTTGAAACCAACCCAGGCAAGAAACTCCATGAAACTCTAATCTCCAATTAACCACCAGAAAACGGAAGTGGTGCTGTGGTTCAAAGTAGAAGAGCTCTAGCATTGAATGCAAAAGCTCAGGGACAACACCTAGGACGGACCTCAGTTTAAGCCCCATGACTACCTCTACCAACAAAACACTGGAAGTGCAACTGTGGCTCAAGGTGATTGAGTTCTATAGTCTTTAGCAGAAAAGCTCAAGGACAGGGCCCAGGCCTTCAAGCCCCATGGCTGACAAAGGAAAAAAAAAAAGAAGAAAACATCTGGACTGGGCTGGGAAGGTGGCTCAGTGGTAGAGTGTTTGCCTTGCATGCATGAGGCCCTGGGTTCGATTCCTCAGCACCACATAAACAGAAAAAGCCGGAACTGACACTGTGGCTCAAGTGGTAGAGCACTAGCCTTGAGCTGAAGAGCTGAGGGACAGCGCCCAGGCCCAGAGGTCAGGCCCCACAACCGACAAAAAAATAAATAAAAATTAAAAAATTCAAATCCAGGTACCAGTGGATCCCCTATAATCCTAGCTACTCAGAAGACTGAGATATAAGGATTGTAGTTCAAGCCAGACTGGGCAGGAAAGTCCATCCATGAGACTTTCTAATTAACTACCAAAAAGCCACAAGTGGAGCTGAGCTCAAGTGGCAGAGTGGCCAGCCTTTAGCACTAAACCTCACAGACAGCACCTAAGGTTAAGCCCCAGGATCAGCATGTGCACACACTTAAACCCCAAAAGACCTTTACGAATTCTATGCAAACATTTTACGTACATTCAACTAAATTATGAGACAAAGAAGACTGAAAACATGCATTAGGTAAGTATCCAGATTTATGGTTAGTAGATACTACTCAAATATACCTCACAGCCACTCATTCACCAGCAGTTAATTTCTGACCTAAAACTCAAAGGCACAGTCTACATACTCTAATCTGGTTCTTCAGTTGCTCGGCCTCCTGCCGCAGCTGGTCAAGCTCACTCATCTTCAGGTCTCTGTTCTAGACACCCCTCAGAACCAACAATCTGGAAGAGAAAAGCAAAACATTGACATGTAGGGTTGAATACTTCAGGAAGCAGACGAAGACAGACATCCAAGACTTGAAAGCAATGATCTCATTACAAGTCAGAGAACCTGGATAGGCATGGCTGAGGTGGTGGGGTGCCTCGATGGTTAGCATGAAGCCAGGACGAAACTGAACATAGATAGCCAAGGAAAAATGAGAGAGGTCCCAGAATTTGTCTCCAGCATTTATAAGAATCTGTAAGCTTGGAAGTGACGCTGTGGCTCAAGTGGTAGAGCGCTCGCCTTGAGCTGAAGAGCTGAGGGACAGCGCCCAGGCCCAGAGTTCAGGCCCCACGACCGCCAAAAAA